CTCTATATCATGCGTTACCTAAGTTTCGTGAATTATCTTGTCATTTATCGGTTTTCTCTTTTTTTTTTTTTTTTTTTTCATATTTCTTGTTCTGATTGTAATTAACTCCATCTGGGAACTATACTAAGAGTGCGTTTGGATTGATTTTTAAAAAAAGTACTTTTATGTCCTCCTTATTTTAAAAGTGCTTTTTATAAAAGTTAAAACTATTTAGATTTTTAAAAAAATATTTACTTTTTGAAAAAAAAAATAGCTTTTAACTTTTGCTTTTTTGAAAAGCTAAAATTTTTAGCTTCTGAAAAAAGTAAGTTTTTGATTTTTTTTTATGAGTTCTGTTTTTTTTAAAAACAACATCCAAATGCACTTTAAAATAAAAATGCTTTTTTTTTTGGGAAAAAAAAAAGCTCATCTAAACGGGCTCATTTATCCTCATGTCAATGGTGATTCTTCACCCTTTTTCAATCTATTCCACTTTTTATTTTTTTTATAATCACAAGTACTATTCCATTAGAGTTCCTCCATTCTACTTTAGGAGCTAACTTTTGATACCACCGTCGCATGTGCGACTTTCATTCAAATTTTACCACTTGGACTTTTTTTCTTTTTTCTTTTTTTCATGTCACTTTCACATTTTCTCTCTATTTTTGATTGGTGTTCCCCACTAAAAAATGGTACTACGATTGTACCATAAAAATTTCCCTACTTTAGCAGGTTTTATTATTATTATTATTATAAGGAAAAAAATATTTGTCCGTATCAAAGAAATAATATTGAGGATACCAAAAAAAAAGACATAGTATTGTTTCATTTTAATTAAAATTACAGTATTTAGCAGTGTTTTAAAACTTGGACCGGTCATCGACTCGGTCGAGGTACTGGGTCATTGATTTAATTGGGTTCAACCGAATTTACTGTTCACACATTAAAAGAATATAAATAATTCTTTTAATATATTACTTATATTAAAAATTTATATAAAAAAAATATCAATGAGCTTCAAAAAATAAATTGGTTCTCAATGATAGCAAATATTATATACTTCTATGCTTCTAGCTCTAGATCATATCCTAACATTGGATTAAAATTGCAATGTAAGCTAAATGCACCTTTTGCGTCTTGACATAACACAGATAAACTAAATCATGATAACAAATGGTAGGCATGAAATATACACTAACGAGAAAGTGTCCAACATTGAGATGAGACCATCAGTGTTTATTCTCACTTAACTTCTTGAGATCATTAATGCAACTAAATTACACAAAAGAACTACTCTAATTCAAAATACCTTCTTATTTTCACCTTACTTTTTAATCATATTTACCACAAAATATGAGCATGATTTAATTCAAGAGTTCTCAGTAACAAAAAAAAGGTCAATCGATCTAAATCGGGTCACTGAGTCGCCGAGTCTCGACCAAGTCAATCGATGCAAACTGAGTTAACTGCAGAACTGATCCAAATGACCGATCAGATAGGAGAACCAACCGGGTCACAAAGACCCGGGTTGATCCGGCCAATCCGAATCGAATTTTAAAACACTAGTATTTAGTAGTGTTTTATTTAATATTTAAATTAAAAATATTTCTATTAATAACCTCTCAGTCTTCGCCATCATGATCTCTTGTTGTGTAATAATTTCTCTCACCATAAAACACAGTAATATTAGTTAAAATGACACTTTTTTTTTTGACAGTACACAATATTTTTTTATTTAAAAGCATAAATACTTTTATATTCTCATTATTATTATTATTTCGGCACACGAAATTTTGCGTTTTTTTCAAATTTAGCAGGTTTAAGTAATCATTTATTTATGGGAAAAGTATATATTGTATTTAAATTTAATAGCATTTGTTATAAAAAATAAAAAATAAAAAATTTAATAGCATTTGACTATGGTTTGATTTTATTAATTTGTATTAGGATCTTGAACATGCATATGAAATGCGTTGATAATGGCATAAACCTGGAAAAAGAAGCTGTAAGTCAAGAATTATAGAATGGAGCATGATTTGAATCATGAGGAGCCTTTGGACCCAAGTCATAGTTCAGATTTTGAATTTGATTATTTATCATCGGATGAATTAGAATCTTCCGATGGAGATTGGGCACCTGTTTACTCTCAGGTTGAAATATCCAACGCTTTAAGGGAAGCCACAACAGATAATGCTCAAGATGAAACAAGGAATCATCAGCATGAAGTTGAAGAAGAAGGAATAGTCGTTGAAAGTGGGAAAGGGAACAAAGGAAATGTTGGTAGTGATGCGAATAAGAGATCTTCGGTGGGGTCGGGTAGCAGTGGAAACTTTTATGATTGTAATATATCACTACTAGAAAATACATGTATAGTAACGGAATTGCTATGAAAATTCCGTTGCTAATTTCATCCTCGCTACTATTTTCCGTCACAAATTCCATCGCAAACAATTTTGGGAGGGAATTTGTGACGGAAAATAGTAGTGACGATGAAATTAGCGACGGAATTTCCATAACAATTTCGTCGCTATATAAGTTTTTTCTAGTAGTGTATGCTTTAAAAAGAACCATAAATTAGTAGTGGCGGATCCAGAAATTTTTATAGAGGGGGGCAAATTTGAAGTACACACAATCATAGAGGGGGGAACTTCAAGACTTCAAAACAGGGGTCGGGTAGCAGTGGGGGACCCAGAAATTTTTATAGAGGAAAATTAACAGACGAATTGTTCAAAGCATAATAAATCGACTAAAATCCATCTAACCCTAACTACTTAAAGAACTAGCCAGACATAGCAAAATCAAGAACAAAAGACAATATAAAAGCTCCCCCAAACTCCATAGGTGATTGGTGAATCTTCAATATCTCCAGTGAAAACTTGATGATGATCCGTCTCCGCCGCTCACGAACATGAATCGGATGAATCTTTCGCATTCCTTCTGCCTCCAAGCACCCAGAATTGTTTTGCAAAGTAAAAGTTAAGCAATTCTGGTCCCCAATGGTCTTTTTATAGCCTAGAGTTCGTATTCTAGTTGAACACCTTGAATGGGCCTAAGTTGGACCTGTCGGGGCGCTTAAGCTTGCTTCACCGCGCTTAAGCCCCCTAGGACGATGATTGCATATTCGCGTTGCGCGCTTAAGCGCGCTCCTCGACTTGGGATTTTCTTCTGGACGCGCGCTTAAGCCCTGAGTTGGGGCCTTAAGCGCCCAGAGGCAGTGGCCATTTGCGTATTTTGGAATATTTTGGGGGCTTAAGCTCCACATTGGGGGCTTAAGCTTCCTCTTCAACAACTTGATGATCTTGATCTTCTTGGATAGATCTTCATATCTTCTGAATTTATCTCCCTTTATCCATATCTTCATATTTGACTCCATTTGTCAACAAATCCCTTAAAATTAGCAAATATTATTTAATTAAGTAACAATTAGATAATGTTCATGATTATCCTATTAAAACCCTAGTTTTTTACTTGTTCAATTAGATAATTCATTTTATTTTAGTCCATAAAACAAGATAAACTAAAGGTTTATCATAAGGCTAACCACTTGGTCCATGTATCAGGTCAAGCCCACCTAAGCATGACAATGACAAAGAATCATGGGTTCCTAACGACTCTGGCAAAGTCTTTCCTCCCTCCTTGTATAAATTACCTCACCACCGTGGCTAAGGTATCTCAAATTATCCCAAATTCACCTAGCCATTACTTTGCCTTTCCAGTACCTTTGCACACACCTCAATGGACTAAGTTAGACTGTCCTATCAAATGAATCCGATATCATGTTACAACTCAAGATCTTAGGTTAATGGGTATATATGCTTGCCCTCACTTAGCTCATTATCAATAAAGTAAAACTCATTATACTTGAATAACCATACTTGAATAATCCAACAATCTTTTTCTCAACTGTGAAACCCACCATTGGTATGCTTGCCCTCAACTAAATACCCACTCAGGCCTGAAGTACTCAACCTGCCTCGAGTCAATCCGGCTTTGATATTAAAGTCAGACCAGTCCAAAGAGAGCCCGTAGCGGGAGACCACTACCAATATATGGTCTAAACTAGACCATCATATCAAGTGGTCTGACACCTTATTACAACCTAAGACCTTAACGGATTTATGGATCTGTTCCGGATGGCCCAACAACACAGCGGCCCAAAGGTCCAAGCCCAATCTCAACCTCCTATCCACGTCATCCCTACCAACTGTCAGCCCTCCAACCCCCAAAGCGACGACACTCCCTAGGGGAAACATCAAAATGTCCCGTCTTGGGACCCCAACCCCCAAAGGTGACCGCCCCAGATACCATAAGAGGAAACTGTCCTTTGTCGCACGCTGACACCGCCAGGCACAGGGGGTGCATCGCTGCTATCATAGCAGCGCCTGCCACGCCCAGCAGCGTCTGCCACCCTAAGCAGATCCCAAGGAGGGTTGACTCCCTCCTCACCAACCCACACAAGATTCACACCACCTTCCCCTATAAATAAGCCCCCTGGGCACACCAAGAAGGTATCTTATATATCGTTATTCTGTCCATTTATATTGAGTCACACATACACACACCTAACCCCATTGTTGATTGCTTACTTCATACTTAGCACAATGCCTCTTAGCTTGGTCTCTACCTGTGCTAAGAGTATCATCCATACAGTGACTCCATCCCCAAAGAGAACATAGTGAGCTTATAGATCCTAATGGTACAGGATCCATCCACTTTTTTTAATTCATTACCAATCAATGTGAGACTTATCATACTTAAATAACCCAAACACATTAGAACTTTGAACTATCATATCACAGCTCTCCTAAACTACTATATATTATATTAACATAGTATTCCTTACGTGGGAAATAATTACTATCTTGGGGTATCACCCTTCATATAATCCTTAAACAGAACATCTCGAGATTTTTTATTTTATTTTTTATCTTTTTAATCATTAAAAGGAGATAATCATTCACTAGCATCAAAGTTTTTTTTTGTACAAGTAAGGAAACTAAACAAAACAAAAAAACAACTGACTACCCAATATCCTGGGTACTATTCTCTCTAATGTCTCTCAATAAAAGACCTCTACAACCCTCAGAGGGTTCACTATACCAGACAGCATTCCAATCCACTCTAGGAGCATGACTAGCCAACCAATCAGCTACTTTGTCACTTTCTCTATGCACATGAACAGCCTTCACCATCCAGCTTTTCCCCAGCATCTCCTTGATCCTAAGCATGACTAGCATCAAAGTTTAACAAAGGAGAAACAATTTTGCATGTGAATAGGAATGAAACTGTGATATTGTAGTTGAACCAGATTTTGTACATTTTTGTAAAATATTTGAAAATTTCCATTGTTGAAAACGGAACGTGGGACTTCACGATGGATATGTGAAATATTTACCACAAGGCCAATGCTATATGCATTGGTCATTATGCTTCTATTATAATATTATTAATTGTTGTCCCAGAAGAAGGATGAGTGAGGTTAATTTTGATGGTTCCGGTGCACTACAAGGTCTTAGAGCTGGTAGTGGAGGAGTTACCCAAGACTGTGCTGGAAGCTAGGTGGATTTTCGGATTCTCTAAGAACTTAGGTGCAGGAAACTGATCAATGGGGAGCATACCCTTGGACTTGATGAAGATTCTCGTTCAAACATGAACTTCATTCTAAATGGATGTCACGCTAATCATCCTCTGCTGCCTTTGGTCAACAGCATCAGTAAGTTAATTTCAAGGACGTCACAGAGGGTGAAGATCACTTATGGTTATAGGGAAAAGCAATATAGTATAGCAGACTTGCTAGCCACACATGCTTATAAACAAAACTGAGATATGAAAATAAGGAAAAATCCTCCTATGAAATATATTTCTTTATTGCAGAAGGATTTAAGAGTAGTTAATTTCCCCATGTGTATTGTAGTTAGCACAGACTTCTCCGGTCTTTTTATTTCATTATATTATCTAACAAATTTTAAATGGGATTTTGGAAGAAGAATTTAGGTGGTCCGGCAACACTATTTATTCAATGGTCTGCACCACTCAAAATCAGATAATTATTGAGGAGAGAAGAGAAATGAAAAAGAAAAATTTGTCCAGGATCACATGATGTCTGAGACACCAAAATATTTTCCGAATTTTGGGAAAAGAATTTCGATTGTCTCGAACAAATGATCCAAACCATTCAAAATCAGACAATTATTGAGAAGAGAGGAGAAATAAAAAATAAAAATTTATCCAAGGATCATCCCCCGAATGAAATGAACGCGTGGGGTGAACAACACCGTAGTATTTGATTTGAAAAGATGATGTTTTTTTTTTTTGGAAATATTTCAATCGGTTCATTGCTTCGCAACTAATCCGATTCGGGGCGGGTCCAGGATTAAGGCTTTAAATCCCTCCCAAAGATAGTACAGGGGAGATTCGATGAAAAGATGATGTTTGTACTCTTTATTTCTCCTTTTTTGGGATCCGGTAGTCCTTGGTTTTCAGTAATGATATTTTTGCTGTATATTTTTTAATAAAAAAGTGAAAGTAACATTGTTATATATTGAATTTCAAATACCCTCAAAATTACGAATCCATCTCAACCGTTCACTGCTGTCTATTGACGATCAAACCAATAAAATGAATTCAGCGAAATATCATATTGTACTTGGAGAAAAATAACTATATTGTTTCGGTGGCCCAGTCCATCATTGTGAGGCACCCGAAGGACATACCGAGAAAACAAATAAAGAACGGGAAACACAATGTATAGAAGACAAATACACTCTCTAGTGTATAACAAACAATTTGTTGTAGGTGTTCAATTTGCCAAATAGCTTAGAAACACAGGACTGTGTACTCCTTTACTAGCATGGATTTCATCTTAGGTTTCCAATGTATCTTAAAGGGGCATGACTCTATTTTTTTGTGGGGGGTTACAAGTTAATGATGGCCAGAGAAAAATAGTTGATTGAAGTTTGGGAAAGTTGTGAGATGTCTTGTTGGACATAATGTTAAGACTTAAGGACTTCGTCATTCTAAATTTACGTATGATGCGGTAACAAGGCTACAAAAAAGACAGTAGCATTCTGTCTTAAACCACAATATTTGCATCACTTAGTGCCATTGCCAGTTTCGTACAATATTTGCTGCACATAAGGGAAGGAAGCTAGAAGGCATGGCAAGAATTAACCGTGCATTGTGTTTAGTTGTAAAGATAATTCAACCTAAAAGCTTAAGCTTTGGATGAGGTTACGTTAATGATTTTATATATCTCAACATATTCCCTTACAGAAAAACCTACTGGGGGCTTGAAGAGTGGACAATACACAGGTCCATCTACCTGTATGAAGAAAGAAATTCCACTAGAAAGAAAGTGGAGGCGGCGAGGATCGAATCCGGTACACCAAAGCTCTGATACCATGTAAAGAGCTAATTCAACCCAAAAGCTTAACTTTTGGGTGAGGTTACGTTAGTGATTTTATATATCTCAACGTTAGTGATATGATATTTTAAGAATATGAGCAGGCATAGTGTGATGACTCACTCTGTACTTACAAAAATGTGATACCATACTGTTGCAAACATAACAATCACTAATATAAGCTCCTTAAGGGAAGAGAAAGAAATCCTCCTCCGCCTATTACAAACATTGATAATGTAAACATCCTCAAATCTGTTCAACAAAAATTGGCTACGCCATACATAGAGCTTCAAATGGTTGTTTACTGTTTATACATAAATTAGGAAACATATTTGTTTCAGACAAAGAAACTGAAAAGTTTGTATGACAAAGAAACTGCAGTACGCATATAAAAGTAGGAACCTTCCATCAGTATGATGTCATGATATATCTACTTACCAAAGAGACAATCATATCATCCTCCTTCTTCTGGCCGCATTTGAAGTTCTTCTTAAAACATTAGTAGTTTCTCTTCTTCTCCTTCTCCTCCTTCTTCTTCTGCTGTGTGTTGCAGTACTGGGGCTTTCTGACTGATCTCCATCTCCAAATCCATGAACGAGGTAATGAAACAGCGTAACATTTTCGATCACAGAAAGATTTGATGTTTCAGTTTCGCTTTCTGGAAGCTGCCAAATACTCTCAATCCTAGGTGCTTGGGGTCGAGGAGGAACTCTTAAACTCTCAGATTCTTTAAATTCCAAGTGAGAATTGCAACTAACACTTGCATTGCCATAAATAGGAACAATGCCTGTTGGAGTGACCTCTCCATTACAAACAGGGCATTCCTTAGCCTTTGAATAAGCATATGGCAACTGATAGAAGCATGGCCAACAAAACAAGTGACCACAACATGTCAAAACAGGATCTATTGCCTTTTTAAAGCATATATTACAATCATAAAAGTTTCCACTGCTACCCGACCCCACCAAAGATCTCTTATTCGCATCACTACCACCATTCCCTTTGACCTCTTTCCCACTTTCAGCGACTATTCCTTCTTCTTCAACTTCATGCTGATGATTCCTTGTTTCATCTTGAGCATTATCTGTTGTGGCTTCCCTTAAAGCGTTGGATATTTCAACCTGAGAGTAAACAGGTGGCCAATCTCCATCGGAAGATTCTGATTCATCCGATGATAAATAATCAAATTCAAAATCTGAACTATGACTTGGGTCCAAAGGCTCCTCATTCAAATCATGCTCCATTCTATAATTCTTGACTTACTTCTTTTTCCAGGTTTATGCCATTATCAACGCATTGCATATGCATGTATCAAGATCCTAATACAAATTAATAAAATCAAACCATAGTCAAATGCTATTAAGTTTAAATACAATATGTTGATTTCTGCCAATCTAACGGTTATAATTTATCAGGAATTAATAGTTAATTAATACGACTCAATAAATTATAACTTTTAGATTGGTGAAAATCAGAAATTAAGATTTGATAGTAAGAAAAAGTAAAAAAAATAAATATAGTAAGTATAATCTCTCCCATATATACCCCAATAAATAAAAGATTACTAAAAGCTGCTAAATGTGAACAAAATGTAAAATTTCGTGACCCAAAATAATAATAATAATAATAATAATAATAATAGAAAAGTACTTGTCTTTTTAAACAACATAATTTTGCTGCGTCGTTTTAATTAAAATTATTGTATTTTACGGTGAGAAAAATGATTATACAATGACATGATGATGGGGAAGAGTGAGAGGTTATTAATAAAAAAATTACTAAACACAATAATTTTAGTTAAAATGGTACAATAGTATGTCCTTTAAACAGACAAATATATAATCCTAATAATAATAATAATAAAACCTACTAAAATAGAATGGAGGAACTCTAATTGAATAATATTTGTGATTATTTAAAAAAAAAAAAAAGCCAAAAAGGGTGAAGAATTACCATGGAAATGAGGATGAATTTATATAGTTCCATATGGAGTTAATTATGATGAGAGAGAGATACGAAAAAATAAGAATTGAGATAACAGATAAAAGATAAATAGTTCAGGAAATTCAAATATCGCATGAGATATAGATACGAGATAAATAATTAAAAAATAAAAACAATAAAGATAATAGATTAATTCAATATTATTTGTGATTAATAAAAAAAGCACGTGAAATAGGGTGAAGAATTACCATTGACATGAGGATGAATTTGTGTAGTTCTGTATGGAGTTAATTATATCCTACCCTCTGTGTGTGTCTATATATATATATATATATATATATATATATATATATATATATATATATATATATATATATATATCGGTGTAAGAATTAGAAGTTTTACATTCAATCTTGACCATTGATCTACTTGTATCCAATGACTCACATTACTAAAAAAATGTGAGTCATTGGATACAAGTGGATCAATGGTCAAAATTGAGAGTGTAACTTACACCGGTGTAAAATGATCCGGATAGCCAAAGATAAACTTATCTCAAAACTGCTTGAGAAATATTTTTCATATATATATATATATATATATATATATATATATATATATGTATGAAAAAATAAGAATAGAGATAAAAGACAAGACAGCCCAGGAAATATAAGTAACGCATAAGATATAAATAAGAATAGAGATAAGAGACAAGACAGCTCAGGAAATATAAGTAACGCATAAGATATAGATACTAGATAAATAATTAAAAAATGGAAATAATAAAGATAATAGATTAAGTGGAATAAATAAATTAAAAATAATAATAATATTAACGGTTATAAAATCAATTTTAAGATAAAGAAAAAAAAGTGTTCATGATTCTAATTAAGTTCCAAAAATTCGGCAAGATAGACGAGATTTTTATAATTCAACTCAAAGGTTTGAACAATACTAAATTGATGGATTTAAGAAGTATTAAAGCTACCCAATGGGTGTATTTCAATTGGGTGAGTAGAGGTTAAGTAGGTGAGGAAAGAACATCAATTCGATTCCCACTAGATACGTCTTTGGGTGGAGTGAAGAGCTTTAAACTTTAACTATAATTAAGTCCCGACTCGAGATTAATCTCGTAGCAGATTCAAAAAGTTGAAGCTTGTGAGGATACCGACTTGCCTCAAAAAAGTAATTAGGATCAATATAAAAAAAAGTATTAAAGCTAACCTTTTGTAGAGTACTTTGGTGCCAACCGCTTAGAGTTAAGCTGAATAAGTATTAGCCTGAAGATGACATACATGTAAAAATATTAATCAAAATGCACAAAGAGAAATCACCCTAAAGATGGCTGTCACAAATACTACATCGATTTCGGGTACATGTTCACAGTTTATGAAATATTCATAAGAGAATATTCAATTTTTGAAGATGTAACGATTATGGTCATAATATTTGATTACATTTTACATTTCTAACTGAACAGGCACTCCTAATCTAGTAAAAAGGTCATGAAACAGAGAAAGATGATTACATTCTCAAACCAGACTCTTTTGATTCCAATTGACATTTACTACTAATAGAATAAGATTTGTGACAAAAAAAAGCGTAATCGAATGGAAAGGGGTGAAGAATTACCTTTAAGATGAGGATGAATTGAGTGTTGTTCCCCGATGAAGTTAATTATAATGGGACTGAGAAATAAGAAAAATAGAAATAGAAATAAGATATAAAAGAGAGGATATATAAGAAAATTTAAGTAACGCATAAAATAGAGATACGAGATAAATGATTAAAAAATTGAAACATTAAAGACAAGAGATTTAAAAAATAAAAAAGGAGGATCGATGTAGCAAAAAGGAGAAGTATCAAAGCTAACCTTTTACAGAGTACTTTGGTGCTAACCTTAGAGATAAGCTGAATAAGTATTAACCTGAAGATGACATTGATGTTCAATATTAATCAAAAGGCATAGAGAGAAATCAGCCTAAAGATGGTTGTTGTCATAAATACTGCATCGATTTCAGGTACGTGCTTACAATTTACGAAATATTCATAATAGAATATTCAAATTTTGTAGATCTAACAATAAAGGTCATAATATTTGATTACCTTTTACATTTCTAAATGAACATGTTCTCCTAATCTAGCAAAAAGGTCATGAAATGAAATAGCCAAATATTCTCAGAGAAAGATGATTACATTCTCTAACGAGACTCTTTTGATTCCAATTGACATTTGCTATTAATAGAAAAACATTTGTGATGGAGAAAAAGCGCAATCGAATGGAAATGGATGAAGAATTACCTTTGACATGAGGATGAATTGAGTGTTGTTCCCCAGTGAAGTTAATTATAATGGGAATGAGAAATAAGAAAAATAGAAAAAGAAATAAGAGACAAAAGAGAGGATATATATATAAGAAAATTGAAGTAACGCATAAAATAGAGATATGTTCTGCCTGAGGCAGAGATGTCTAACAGAAGATTAGATGGTTGATGTAGGATCTGATGCTTTCTCTCTGGATACCTATGAATTAGGTATCCTAGGGGCAACGAATCACAACACACTATATGACGGCCTTAGCCAAAGGGGGGGTGTGTGTGCGCTATGTGATTGCATAAAAGTAAGTTAAAAGAGATCAGTCATACTTGTGGTCTTTAGCTCCTATTTATAGTGCTTACCTTCGGGCTTGTATTGCTTGGGCCTTCTATGGATATGGGCCTAACTCGGGTCCATAACAGTTTCCCCCCCAGCCTGGTAGACTGAGTATTCAGGGTGCCGGGATGTCCGAGTCCTGTTCTTCAGTGCAGGTGATGTATCTCGGTTTGCCTCTTACCTCGGTTTCAATTTACATTCTACTTCACTAGAAAAGAGGGACAGAATGTTGTGGATTACCCTGGTTGTGAATCCTATCTGGGATATCCCTTCTGGATAACGATTTCGATTTGGACATGCCTTCTAGGTCGAAATAACCAGCCGAACTACAACAAAGGTTCTTACTCTGGGAAACGATTCTCCTTCTATGAGAAACGATTCTCTTTCCACGCAATGATAACTACCTTCCACGTGGCTCCCCCTAACCAATGCAACGTATGCCACTACTCCAGCCTACGCCGTTTGCATTTATTGTAATTGTCAAGACGTCCCTCAACTGTCCTTTCTATCAGTTTTACTCTTTTGCCCCTACCCTTTCGTTTCGCGGGTCATATTCTTTTAACTTTTCTTTCTCCTTCACATTTTATTATTACGTGCCCATTTCTCTGATCCTGTTTTTGAACTTCTCTCCCATTTTGCAAACGCTCTCGATTCTTCAAGCTTCTTCCAGGTATGCTTCGTAATTTCCCTCCAGCTTTTACTTTCTTTCAGTGCTGTTTCCAGTCTTTCACTATTTTGTGGTATATTTTGAACCTGTGATGCTCCTAGTATTGTTATATTTGCATTTCAAGAGTGCATGTTTTAATCCTTGTTTGCCTGATTACACCTTACTGGCATGTTACACACTGTCCGCATGAAGCTTCTCTGCTACTGCTTGCCATTATTTATCTTTTATTGTTCCTTAGTTCAAAAATTTCAACTGGTATGAGTGAGAGGGACTTCAGTGGTCGAGGGAGACCCACTCGCCTTCGTATCTTCGGCCGTAGTGATGAAATCGACGCGGAGGAAGAAGAAAAGACTGCAGAGGAAGAAGAAAGGTTCATCCAGAGTCTATCTCCTAGTTTGAGATATTGGTTGTTTGGTAGACCTCGGACCGAGGAGGAAACACAGGCCGCCTTACTTGGGGGCTATCGAGGAGGTAGAAATAGGGGGCGTCTTCATCTCGTCCCTCTACCCGAGGGTGCAGCCGAGGTCTTAGCCGTGCTCTAGGTGTTTTACCAGAACGTGCTACTCGTAACTTACGTCAAACCTCCATCCCTTTTCGTTCGACCTCCACCTCCACTCACACCCCTACTTCATTTCGACCTCTTTTCCATGTCGTGTCAGTTAACCCGGGTGCTAGAAACCCGGATCCTTGCTTCAATTGCGTTTACCTTAGTGCTCAGTTTGTTGAAAAAGAAAACGATTTCATGGCCGATCTAGTGTTAGGCAGTTGTTCAGACCATCTCGGCTCATCTACCCCTGCTTCTTTGGTTTCCTTAGATGACTCCTCAAGCTCTTCTCATAGTAGTTTGTTTAGCTCAGGTGAGTACTTTCTTTGCTACGTACTTTTTCTGATTTTAATCCTCATATTTTGTTATTCTAGATTTTATGGAGTCCCCTTCTGCAGAGTTAAACATGGAGATTACCTCATCTAGCCAAGGACAGG